TAGAATCATTCCTCCTTCAGAAAGGAACAACAGCTTACTGGAAAGCCAGTACTTGTCTCATAGTTAACTACTTTCCCCTGTTAGTACTTTTATCCTTCAGTTAACTATGCTGAATACTTTTGATCTATTATTATATCCGTAAGAAATTATTTTTTTTAAAACACCTCTTACTATCAACCTGTTTTCAACCTTCCTTCAAATTCATGAAGATAGTATAAATACAGATATGTAAGACATATCTATATTTTTTAAAAAAACCCAGACCTCAGCTTTCTCTGTGCATTTTTGAATATTAAACTTTTCTTTATTTGTCAGAAAGTCTAATGCAGTTTAATCTATCTGAAACAATGATCTTTCAGTCTGTAGAAGCAAGACAATTCTTATTCTGAAAATATACTGCTTGGTCTTGCTGTCAGTACATTTTGTATGGTGCTTGAATGGACCTATTGTCCTCTTGTGCACTCAAAGTGAATGAATTTATATTTCAAAGTGGAGCATTTCTTTCTTCCCTGTACCAGTTCCCACTTCTTTTTCTGAAGGAGAGAACAAGACTGCAGTCCTGAAAGTATATAATTCTGAAACTTGGAAATTAGATTCCAGTGTATTTGTTGCTCACAAAGCCTTGTTTATGCCAAGTGTTGTACAGTTACTGTAAAGAGTTTGTTTGGACAGTCGCAGAAATAACTTCACTCTGATGTACCAATGAAACTGGTTAATTTCCCACCACCTTCAGTTTAGAAAAATATGTTCGTCACTTATAATTTCTTAACCTGTCTGACATTCCTCATGCTGAAATTCAGTACTCGAAGTTCTTATGCACTTGCTGAATTTAAAATATATCTATTCTCTCTTCAGCGGGATTGTCCGTACATTAGGTACATGTGCAAATTTTGGAGGGTTAGTGCTCAAGCTAAAGACTTTCAAATTAATGCATTTCATTTCTAGAGTACTTTCTTAGTTCTGCATTGTCAAGTTCAGTACAACAAAGATTGGTGTCTGTCTTCACAGCCATAAATGTGTGTGACCTGTAGGGTGCTTCCATGCAGCCTGCTCCCTTTTTGCTCCAAGGAAAGCAGATGCAGCGTAAAGGCATAAAAAAAGAGGAGACTAAAGAGAATACAGGAGAGAGATTTCAAAGAAGAAAACACATGGAATTAAGTAGATGAATCAAGTTTGGTTACCTTTTCTCTGATATCATGTAATGAAATTCTCAGTTATCAGGCAAAAAAACCCACAACATACATCCACAAAGGAACTACTTTTTTGCGCAATTAACATTTGAGAAATTTATGAAGTAGGATGCTGTGGAAGTCTCAAAGCATGAATTTGTTTAAATTCGTGGAGGATGTGGCTGTCAGTGGTGAGTAAGTATGATGGCTTTGCTGCAGCTCTTTGTTCAGGAACTGTCCAAGCTGGAAGTCCTTAGGTTGCTGGAAGCTTATTTGCGAAGATAAGAATGTACCTTTTATTATTTACATTCTTTTTATGACAGTTGCCAGTAGCAAGTGCTCAAAGGGAAGCTACAGTACTAGGTGAACATTTGATCTGGCTCAATATGGTAGTTATTATTTCAGTCGTCTTCATCACTCAACATTTACCTTCAGTAAACTCTAATAGGGACCTTAGAGGATATTGAACTCCTATTAACCATGGCTTCTGGCAGTCATTCAGCTGTTATTTAATAAGCAAACAATGCATTGCACTGTTCTTTATGTACAAGTATAGTCTCATTACTTGTCCTTTAAAAATCAGGAGTTCTTAAGGGCAATTATTTGAAATAATTGAAATCAACAAATGAAACCTGCATCCAGTTTACATCTCAGAAGCACAAATAATTTAATTCTAGAAAGTTAAAGGTTTGTGTTTTTTTTTTAATTTTGCTCGTCTGATTTAAGACATTGCTGCTAATAGAAATGAAAAAAAAAAAAATTTTCTGTCCTCGCTCTTTTTTTTTTTACCCTGTGTTTCATGCTCCTGTTTTTCTCACTGGTGATGTCTGATGTTAAGAATGCTTCACTGCTACAGAGCATGCTGTCAAGTTCATACTCAAAAAGAGGTTATTCTGCCCACTCCTTTCCCGTAGCACTGATCTTTGAGGATGAATTAGGGACTGTGTAGGCTTCACAGAACTCTCTGCTCTCTTCTAAGGCAGATGTGTCAGTATGAAAAACATTGATTTATAGGAAAATGGAGTGGGCGCTGAAGATGAAGGGGAAGAATAAAAATGTCTGTGTTACAGTATATGAGGGTAGAAGAAAGGTAAAAATATTAAAAAATATATTATGAGAAGTGGCTAAGCCAAGGTACTTGTTGAAAAGTTATTACTTTTTATAAAGGTTTGTGCTGAAATCCACTCCTGGGTTCCACAACGTTACTGTCAAAGGTAATAGAAGGTAAAAGAAAAAGAAAAAAATTCTTAATAAGAAGTCTAACAAGGAAACATTAGCTGACTTATCCCACACTATGTTTAATTAGTGGAAATTATGGCATTTTAAAAATTTCATCTTAAAATTGATACTATAATGCCTTTTGGGGAATAATTGTCTTCAATGCCTCATGCAATATAATTAGTGCTTCCACTTGTGTGTAGACTTGTGTGTGTTTTGGTAGATTTAGCCTTATCAGTCATGACTAAAATAATATTTTTATTTGCTCATACCTGAAACAGGGGAGTAAAGTGAAAAGAGTTTTGTGAAGTATCTTTGCCATTTGAGCTTTAGTGCTCACAAAATTTGAAAATCTTATGAAAAGAAACTTGTTAGTGATGCAGATCTAAATATGTATTTACTAGAAAGACAGAATTGCCTCCACAGGAAGGTTGCTCTGAGGTTTTTCCCCGCCACTGCTACTATTTTTATGAGCCCATACCCAACTACCTGTTATGTAGGAGGTAACTTAGTGTACATCTTGCAGATGGTCAGATATGTAAATTTGGCTCTTTGCTCGAGTGATGTAGTTTGGTTTTGTTTCTGAGGCAGTTACTGTTTCCAAAAAGTATGCTAATATTTCTAGAAATTAAACTTGTGTCAATGACTACCATTAGATGACCATCTAAATCAGTTGAAGAAGGAGATACTGATGGTGTTCCAAATAGATCAGAAGTAGCAAATGTGCCAGTCAGTGTTTCCAAAATGCATGAATTTGAGAGTACCTCACAAGAGCTCACTGAACATTTTATTTCCCAACTGTGTTAATGTAAGATTGATTTTTATTTTAAATAGATAGAGTCATAGAATCATTAAGGTTGGAAAAGACCTCTAAGATTATCAAGTCTAACCGTCAGCCCACACCACCTAACTCAGTAAACCATGTCCCTAACCACCACATCTACACGTTTCTTGAACACCTCCAGGGATGGTGACCCCACCACTTCCCTGGGCAGCCTGTTCCAATGCCTGATCACTATTTCAGTGAAGAAATTTTCTTCTGATATCCAGCCTAAACCTCCCTTGGCGCAACTTGAGGCCATTTCCTCTTGTCCTATCACTTGTTAATTTAGAGAAGAGGCCAGCGCCCACTCACTACAACCTCCTTTCAGGTAGTTGTAGAGAGTGATAAGGTCTCCTCTCAGCCTCCTCTTCTCTAAACAACCCCAGTTCCCTCAGCCGCTCCTCGTCAGACCTGTGCTCCAGACCCTTCAGCAGCTTTGTTGGCCTTCTCTGGACCTCAATGTCCTTCTTGTGGTGAGGGGCCCAAAAGTGAACACAGGATTCAAGGTGCGGCCTCACCAGTGCCGAGTACAGGGGCACAATCTCTTCCCTGGTCCTGCTGGCCACACTATTGCTGATGCAGGCCAGGATGCTGTTGGCCTTCTTGGCCACCTGGGCACACTGCTGGCTCATGTTCAGCTGGCTGTCGACCAGCACCCCTAGGTCCCTCTCTTCTGGGCAGCTTTCCAGCCACTCTCCCCCAAGCCTGTAGCATTGCAGGGGGTTGTTGCAGGACCCAGCACTTGGCTTTACTGAACCTCATACAAGTGGCTTCAGCCCATTGGTCCAACCTGTCCAGATCCCTCTGCAAAGCCTTCCTACCCTCAAGGAGATCAACACACCCACTCAATTTGGTGTCATCAGCAAACTTACTGAGGGAGCACTCAATCCCCTCATACAGGTCATTGATACAGATGTTAAACAGGACAGGCCCCAAAACCGATCCCTGGGGAACACCACTGATGACCGGCCGCCACCTGGACTTAACTCCATTCACCACGACTCTCTGGGCTCGGCCATCCAGCCAGTTTTTTATCCAGCAAAGGGTGGTTCTGTCTAAGCCATGAGCCACTAGCTTTTCTAGGAGAATGCTGTGGGACACGGTGTCGAAGGCCTTGCTAAAGTCCAAGTAGATGACATCCGCGGCCTTTCCCTCATCCATTACATTGTTCCATGGAGGGGGGAAAAAATAATTTTTATTGGCTTAAGGCAAAAAAGCTTAGCATTTCTAATAATTGAGATAACCCTTTGTCTATTTTAGCTGCTGTATAGGACTTTTTTTCAAAGAGATGTTTGACATGTTTAGTTCCTGTAATACATCAGAAGCATGAGCAAGCAAAGGTTTAAAAATGAATTTTATACATAATAGATTTTATTTTGTTTAAGCAGTCTGTTTAAAAGCAGGCAGATCTTCTGTCAATGAGAAGGATTTAGATGCATAAACATTATTTGTTCACTAAAGTGTGATTTAACCTAGATACTTCTGTAGTTTTGGATCCACATTCCAATGCAATCTGTTATTTAACCTTTTTTTTTTCCCTTTATTAATAGTTACAGTGTGTGTTTTTTCTCCTACTAACAATCAAGTAAGGTCATTCTAGCAATTAGAAGCAGTCTGGACAAAATTTAGCATAGTTTTATTTATCCATTAATGATTTAGAAGGAGCTTGCATGTTGTGGCCAAAATGTCTATTATTGACCTTGGATTTTTGAACCATGCTGATTTAATTGATCTATACGTGTTTGATTCTTAAATGATAAAACCCTGAACTTTCATTGTCTTTTCCTTAGGATTTTAAGACAGGATTCGGTATCACTTTAATCCCTATGAATGTGGCAAATGTAAAACAAGTGGATCGGACTGCAAAGCAATCTTTTGAAATAATTACTCCTTATAAAAGTTTTAGGTGAGAACTTTAATATTTACATTACAAAATATGTAAATAACTAATGCACTAAAGAAATACTTGCTTCATACTACAGTGACCTGTCTAGTCTGGATGAAAAGGTAATGTTTTTATTAGGAATGCTTGGCAATTTTTTTAAAAACAGAAGGTTTTTCTTTCGTTTGTTTAGCTGTATGCTTCATCTGTTACCTCCCTGACTAGACGTCCTATGCCCACAGATTTGTATTTTTATGTAGCCTTCTTTGTTCATTCTGTGCAAGGGCAGAAGAAAAAAAAAAAGTCACTTTAACAACTTGACTCCATTTTAAAGAAAATAAAATGAATAGTGAAATAATGCTGCATCCGTTTAATATGAAGCAGTTTATTCAAAAAGAGAAGACTCACTTGTGTGCCATTCCTTGTAGAAATCCTCCATTGCAATCAGTAGATAATTTTACTTTGGCTGATGCTGTGCCTTGTAATGATTTTTAAGGAAATAAAAGTATATGCTAATAAAAGCCTTTTGTTAAGTGTTGTAGTGTTTCTTAATTTAAATCTCAGTAATGCAGGAGAAGAAGAAACCATTTTTTTCTCCTGGGCTTGATAAATGTTAGTAAAGAATTTCCTTTCATTCTCAGTCAACTGGAGTAGCAGGTAAATTAGTCTTGGTCAGTGATTTGAATCTGTCACTAATTGGTACATAGCTAGTTCTTTGACGTTCTATAAGCCATCATCACCATGTTGGTGTTTGCTTATTATTGTTTATATTTTTCAAAAAGATCAATTCAAATTAAAAACATTTTTGGTTGTTGTAGTTGTCAAGTCCATTTTTACTCCTCAGTAAGTCACCGTGTTTCCTTAGGTAACTCTATGGTTTTGTAACTTGAACATTACAAAAGCTATGTAGCTTATGCTAGTGGTCATTTGATTGAAAACAGAACACGGACACAGAGGGAGTTTTCATTGACTAAAAATACAAAATAATACATTCCATCGTAGTATTTATATCTGTGTAGAGGAAGATTTTTCTGACTGTGATTTTGGGTGTAAATGTAATAAATAAGAGAAATTACAGACTGTATTTAATTGGGCTTTAAAATAAAGATCAATAACATAGAAAAGTCAATTGTTTCAGTTTTACAGCAGAGTCAGAAAGAGAGAAACAAGACTGGATTGAAGCACTGCAGCAATCGATAGCAGAAACTCTGTCTGATTATGAAGTAGCTGAGAAGATTTGGTTCAATGAGTCCAACAGGAGCTGTGCTGACTGTAAAGCTCCCAGTCCTGACTGGGCGTCCATCAATCTCTGTGTTGTCATTTGTAAGAAGTGTGCAGGTAGAGTAATTAATGACAGGCTGTGTGGGTTCTGCAAAATGTCATATTTGCATATCTATGTATGTCCTTGGGTTGGCTTTTTTCATTTTTACAGTGCCATCTTTGTGGAAGTTTTAACAAACAAAAAAGTGAACATAACTTTTTTTTTTTTTTTTTAATACCAAGGTAATCCTTATTCTAAAGCACTTCCATGAATAAATGACAGGTCTGTAAGGTACTTGGTTACCCTCAGGTGAATAATCCTTCACAATTAGTGGAAATTAAGACACACTAACACTTTGTGGGAAATGGTGGCTTTTACAAGGGTGGATGTGACAAGATAATAATTGTTAGTGTATAAATTTGGGGCATTAATTCTATTACATTAGAACAGATTTTACTGCCAGGAGGGATAGCTTTTTCAAATACTACTAAAAATCAAGGTCTATCATGTTTTCTATTTAAATATGTGCTTAAGCAATAGATTTAGAGAAGTAGTTTATAACTCTAGCCTTTCTTCGAAAACAAAGCTTCCCAAAAGTATTCTCCATCAGACAGTGTACTTTGTTTATTCATCACTATCAAATACAATCCACTTTTTTTTTCATTTTGGGTTTTTTTAGTGCTTTTATTTTATATTCAGATGTCAAACCCAGCCTTTTTTAAAAATAGCAATTAGAATAGAATCATTAAGGTTGGAAAAGACCTCAAGGATCATCAAGTCCAACCCAACACCACCTAACTAACTAAACCATGTTCCTAAGCACCATATATACACGTTTCTTGAACACCTCCAGGGATGGTGTCCTCATTAAGTTTGTTGTCTCAGCAGAAGAGAAACCTGGTTACTTTAGTTAAGTAAAAATACTCTTGGATTTTCAGGACAGCACAGATCTTTAGGACCAAGAGATTCAAAGGTCCGAAGTCTAAAAATGGATGCCAGCATTTGGAGCAATGAACTTATTGAGGTATGTGATATTCTAACTCTTTGTTCCATCTTGAAAACTACTGTATGAGTCGAGGTCGTTTATTGCTTTATTCAGAAGAAAACTGAACATACAGCTGCTAAATAACATGCTGCAGTGAACTTGGTGTTTCCAGGAATAATGTACCTTTGTGTCATTCAAAATACTCGTTTGTTTTTATAACCATCTGTACAATTTCCCTTAGTATTTCTCCAAGCACCTAGCTTTTGGGGGAAAAAGACACAAAATACTTTTGAAGAACAATTATGATGGACAGTATTGGGAAGGGGAAAAGAAAGGTAACTTCTCACTATCAGTTAGTTGCTTACGGTGTTAAGAAGTGGTGCTGATAGAAAGTGTTGACTCATGAAATGTTTTCTTTAAAACATATGCCAGTCTTCTCTGAGCTTTTAGTGGTATTTTCTAGTATGTATTGAAATACTAGAACTGGTTAACCTTGTAATGGTTAGTTGTTAGTAAATGATGACTTGTAAAGCTTAGTTTGGTCGTAAATGATGACTACAGACTTTATTATTCGTTTATAGGTGACCATAGGCAGTGACTGAGAAAGGCTTCCATCTCCTGTAGGCAATTTTTCCTTTAATAACTTTCTTTTTCAACTTTTGTCAGGTGAAAACTATTTAGAGGCTAGCTTCATATCCTTCATTCTATTTTGTTTGTTTTTTCTCGCACCTCATCCAGCTCTTTATTGTCATTGGAAATAAGAGGGCAAACAGCTTCTGGGCAGGAAATCTGCCTCGAGATGAAGAGTTGCATATGGATGCCCCTGCAGAAAAACGAATAGCATTCATTACACAAAAATACAAAGAAGGAAAATTTAGGAAAGCACCTTTTTCTTACAAAACCAAGGAACAGTTGAATAAGGTAATACTAGAATGGGTAAGCCCATACCATACCTTTCGTGTTATCTTGTATTTGTGTGCAATTTGGTCATCTTGTTAAACTGTTGAGAAATAAATTCAGAATCCTGAGTGACGTTCTCACAGAGCTGAATGAGGATGGTTCAGGAACCATTACAGGACTAATTTCATTTTTTCTTGGTTCCTAGTTTTTCTGGTTAGGTTGTTTGTAGAAGGTGGTGGTACCTGTATGATGCCTGCAATATGTCTTCCAGAGCCATCAATTAATATGGTTCTTTGTTTTTCTTCAAATGGACACTCTAGGGATGCAAATTCCCACTTGACTTCTTTAGATTCCTTCTTTATGTGTTTTTGATATTAGATATAAGATGTTATATGTCTGACACCTAACATTCCAGTACATTAGATGATTCAGTGTTATCAGTGGTGAAAGTAGCTCATGCACATTTACATAGTAGCTTGTAGCTAACTGGAAATGAAACAAGCTAAAATTACTGATGAAAAATGTGTTCTCAGTGTTTCCTTTTACCCAAATAACACAAATAAATTCTTTACAGTTATAAAGTGGAAAATGCTAATTATAATTATCAACTTCTGTGTAGTTTTTGATGTCCATTTGATTGACTTCTAGTATCTGTTATTTCAGGGTCATGATTGTTTAGGGTTTATGAATACAGAAGAGCTTAAATGCATATATATTACAATGTTAATGCATTGAATTACACGAGTCAAATGTCTCAAAGGGTATGCAGAGATTGTGGGGAGGCAGTAACATTTAAAAGATGATGTGGTTTGAACTAAGGAGGTCTCATTTCTTCCATGGTTATTGTGTTAAAAAGGAAGCATTATTTCCATACATTTTATAAGTTCTATGTTAGTTTTACACATAAGAAGTTAAAATGAGGGCATATAAGAATAGTTGTTTTTAAAACACTTCTAGTGAAAGTATAGAGCCATCTCACTGTATAGCTTTAATTTAAGTTTTCTGCATTTCGTTGGAATTGGGAAACATTTTTGGGCTTCATGGAGAACTTTTATGTCTTTGCAAAATAAAACATTTGTATTGTTTTCTGTTTATTCATAGAAGCTGTGCAAGAGACTTTATTTAATATTTTAACTGTGGATCACGGAAAATAGCTCTGTGTTTTACAGGCTTGATTCTTCTGAAGTCTGTGGGTTTTGTTGGTGGGGAGAAGGGTATCTTTAAATCTCAAGGCAGAGGATCAAGTATGAAGATACCCTACAGCCTTGTTGACTGTGCCCATCATTTTGAAAAATTACCTATGAATTTCAGTCTGTTTCCTAGTAATAGAGTTTAAGGATCAAGTCTTATCTCTTTGGTTGAACTTTTGAGGTCTGAAATAAGTTTTTTTTCTTTAGTAGTTTGGTATGTGAAGGAAAATGAGGGGGAATTTTTTCACATAAATAAACAACAAGCTTCCCCTACAGTTGTATTAGTTCATGTTATCCTTCTCAAGTGAAACCTGCAGCAATAACATACTGCAGAGTTTGGGTTGATGATGGTTTAGGGTTTTCTTTTTTAGTTGTTGCTGCTTTTTTCTAGATTCAGACCATACTTCATGATTCCTGCTACTTCTCAATATTTATAGTCTTTGAAAATGGTGGGTGAATATTGGAGGTGAAAGGATTTGCATCTAAATTACATGTACTTGTTGGCAATAACTTTCTAATTTAAATAGACTTCTTACTTTCCCTCTCCATGATAAGGCCCTTTGTGCTGCCGTAGTTAAACAGGATGTGCTAGAAACTCTGATGTTGCTGTTTAGTGGGGCTGATGCTATGTGTGCCACTGGAGACCCTGTTTATAGCACTCCGTACTTATTAGCCAAGAAAGCTGGACAAAGACTGCAAATGGAATTCCTGTACCATAATAAGTTCTCAGGTAGGATATATTCTCTTTGTTTTCATCTTCTAATTTTACATTGAGCAAAAGGGAAGGAGGAATTCAGAAGAAAAATTGCCATTGAGTTGAGCAATAGTAGTATAGCAAAAGGGGAGTTGTGGTGGTGTTAACTGTGTTTCAGCAGACCGTACGTACTTGCGTGCAAGTTACTTTTATTTTACTCAGACATCAAGTTTAGGATATAAAAAAATAATAAAAAGGCCAGTGATAACTTGTAGACTTCATACCCTTATTTATAACCCAGAAGAAAAACATCATCTGCTCTGCCAGTATTATCAGGCTTTTACCAGAAAAAAAAATAGTATGTACAGTTAACATATATCTAAACAATTTGTCTGGGGCTCTGTTTTTACTTAAAAATTATTTAATTTGATACCTACACCTACTGTACAATGACCTACCTGTTTTTTTGCATACTCTCCTCCCAAAATAAAAGTAATTTCTTCAATCTGTAATATGATCTATCCCAGCAAACGATCTTTTTTTTTTTCAGATCACAACTTCTGTTAAAGCATGGAGAACATGATAATCAACTTTGGCCTTGAAATCAACAGTTCTACTTGCAATGTGTGACTGTTATGAGGCTCTTGAAAACAGAAAGCTATTCTTAAAAACAAATAAATAAATTGTAGATTATGGATGTACCTGAGTTTACCTTTTAGAAGGGTCATACAGTATCTGAAGCAGTCTGGGAATGAAAGTTCACATGCAGATTTACACTGGAAAAAATAAGCTGTGCTGTACTGCAGCCAGCATTGTGGACACACTCCTGGACCACCTTTACATTATCTTGTGCCACACTGCAAAGGAACACTGCATAGGCTGAAAAACAACAGTTTTAGTGGGAAATGCAGGAATGGTTTAGGACTTCCTAGAGCAAACATGGTGCCTTAAGTTCTGCCTGAGCATTGCTCTGTCACAAGTGCAGGCACTGGATCATAGGATGTCGAGCTCAGTCACTGTGCAAACATGCAGCTGTGGGTTCTTTTGCTAGCTATGCTCTCAAGTGGTACAAAGGCCATAGAGAGAAGCTGGCATGTCTTGGCTCTGGCTTTTCTACTTTAAGCCTTCCAGCCAAGGCAGCATCACCATGTGCTGGTGCTAGTGTTCTGTTCAGAGAAAGGGAGGATGTTACAGGTTGACAGTGATTCTTTAAATTATTGTCTGTCTGCTGCCAGAGCTGGGGGTAAACTTCTAGATAAGACCTCAAAAGAAACAATTGCCTTCTGTTGAAGTGAGTTACATATGGGATGAAAATAAAAGCTTAGTACATCAGAAAACCGTATTTTAGATTGCATTGGCAAACAATGGTAGACAATGGCAATGTTGTAACAAGTGTGAATCAATGTTTCTGGATTAATATGTAAGAGTTAGTTTTACCTTAAGTATAAAAGTAAATCAATAAGATGTATCTGTGTTTTAGTAAAGATATTACAGCGCAACTGCATACCCACAGACATGCAGTTAGAAAGACCTGTTGAGCAATGGTTATGACTGATATAACTGAAGTTCTCTATGTTACTTACTCCTTTAATAGATTTCCCGAACTATGATACTTGTTTTGAAAGTGGCTTCTCTGAAGATTCTTCACATTCCACCTTTCTTTGTGAGTTCTTATACAAAGTTTCTTCTAATACTGCTAAGCTGCTTACAGAGAAGAAATTAAAAGAAGGTATTTCACTTTTAATTTATGCATTTGAATAATACATTAGTACATATGGTTTGAATGAATTTGGTTCTTTTTACGTTCTTGCATTACTTTTTAAAAGATAAAATGTCTTTGAGATGACATATCCTCTTTTAATTTGGTAGACCTCTTTCAAACAAAGAAAATACTGATTGTCTTGATCTCTTTATTCAGTGGTTGACAGAGGAAAACTGAACTACTGAAAAATTATTCAGTTAACAAGTTACTGATAAGTAAAAACCACTTGGGAACACTTCTCACTTGGATTGTGTTTAGATGGATGCTACTAATTGCCAAAAAGTAGTTTCCATCCAAAATAATAGTACTCCAGAAGTCATTTAAAAGTATTGCTGTCTTTTTAGTAAGAGTACAAAAGGCTAACACCTAGGGTATTTCTCAAGCTCACAAATTCTAAAAGTATTCTAAGCAGAAATGAGCACTTCCAACAGCTTTATGACAAATTGAGCTTCGTGGGGTGAAAATGTGTGTATGTCACAGTAGCTATACATGGTCTTCTGTGTATATCAGTCTTCTGTGATTTATTTATTTTCTTTGAGATACATGTTATCAGATAATTTTCTTAGCTTTTTTCTTTCTTTTGCTCCTTAGTTGTGTTTCTATATTTTTCTTCCATCTAAATGAACAAATGATGTGGATTTTTTAAATCTGGGATGATTTATGGTTGAGCTTATTTCTCCTAAAATCTTGACATGGCTTCCTGTGTTGGTGTATACATATTTTTGTATGATTACATCCCTATTCTTGTGGTGTATGCCTTTAAGATCTTTAGTGGACCTTAAAGCATGTTAAAGCACATAACTCCTATTTAAGTATGCTTTTGAAGAATCTATATGTTAGTGTGGGTCCAAATTCTTGAAAGCATTGGGTGATGAACAGAACTAATGCCTGATCACAGGCATCACCCAGCAACTTTGCAGTTGTTAATAAAAACACCTGTTGTGGCAGAGGACTGCTGCTGGAAAGGACTTTCTTGAGGATTGTTCTAAAACTGCACTGAGGTTATTCAGGAAAGAAAGGAACAACTGCAAACCTCACTACCACTTGCTCTAAGTGTAGACCTAGTTTTCAGTGCTGTGGGTATCATAAATAAAACTTTACAGGAAAAAAAAAAGAAGACTCCTCTAAGAGAAGTAGAGAGCAGATAAAAGGCAATACTACTATTCTCTTCTGTCACAATATGTTAGAAGTGCAGTTTGAGTGCTTAAATACCTGTATAGACTGAAGATTTAGCTATAAATGCTCACAGAATGTCTTCTGTAGTACTTTTTTGGGGAGATGGAGTGGGAGTGAGCATCATTGGTAGGGTGCCTTAAAAATACTTATGAAAAGAGCCCTCAGACAAGAAACAAATGCATTTTGACTGTCTTCCATCATTAGTTTTAGTGTACAGAAATGAAGTTGCTTTGAAAGCTTGTAGTCTGTTGCTTAGGATTGCAGTTATAACTTGGAGGAACATACAGTAAGTGGAAAGGAACCAGATTTCCCTCAGCTCAGGTTTTGGCCTGTGAAATTATGATAGTGTCTTATAGATGGTAGATGTTCTATTTCTGGATGTTTGCTTTGTTTTTTTGCATGAATTACCTGTATGTTTGTCAGGACTGATGTTGGGTGCTTTACAGATACATAGGAAGATATATTTTCTTGACCATTTGCAGTTCAAGAAGACAAATGACAAATGGGACAAGGGAGGAAGATGTAATATTATCCTTTCAACAACAACAAAAAAACCCCTGCAATTTTGAATTAGAAACTGCTATTGCCTGAGGGCTCTAATATATCTCAGCCATGTCTAAGAAGTATTATGACAAAAGGGATTTTTTTTGCTATTTAATACCTAAAATGTGTAGTCTTTTTCTTCCCTTCTGTATTGATTTTTTTCTTCCCTACCTCAAGAACTCTAGGCAATCAGCTCTGGTGTAGGCATGTACCGCAGTGGAGTGGGGGATCCTGGCATACAGGGGTGTTTTCTGAGCCAGGGAAACCCCAGAGGAGCACAGAGACCCAACAGGAACCAGCAGCTCTCATGAGGGCAGCTGACATGGCATGAGCAGGACCAGGAGTAACGGCAGCCACCCCCTACTTCTACCCCAGGCAGCCGTGAGGAGCGCCAGCGACCAGGAGCACTGCCAGCAGGGTGGCAAACAGCATGTGGGGCAGCAGCTGGGGCGTGGGGCGGCAGTTTGCAGGGAAGGCACCCCTTGGGAGGAGGGGCATTCCACTGCCTGAGTGGGAGACTTGAGGTACAGAGAACCCTGCAACCTGGCACCATTCTGTGACCATCTGCACAGGCGAAGGGCGCTCGTCCTACCTGACTCACAGCAGAATGGTGGGCACCTGTCTGAGAGCAAAGGCTGCAGCTCTGGCTAGGGCGTCTGCACCAGCTCCCCCAGCAGTGGCTGATGCCTCCACCCAGATAGATCTGCTGAGGGGAGAGGCTGCAGTGCAGACCTTAGACTGCAGCAAGTGCCTGGACCTTTCTTCTGGGGTAGGGGCAGGCAACAGACCTGCCTGCAGAAGGTGTGCCCGGGTGGGGAGCTCCTGCGGCAGGTGGCTGAGCTGCAGGAGGCGGTGAGAAGGCTGTGGAGCATCAGGGAGGCTGAGAAGGAGCTAGATAGTTGGTTCCAAGTGTAGTCTGCAGTGCAACCGCGGCCAAACAGCCAAAAACTCCCCCACTGGCACACACAGGAGGGAACAGAACCATTAACACAGAAGAGTGGAAGCTTGCAATGGGAAGGACCAGCAGGAGAAAAAGCCTGAGGTGCACTTGCAGAACCACTTCACCACTCTGCAGGACATCAGGAGAGACACTGGAGCCGAGTAAGGCACCCCAATCTGCTCCCTATGCAACAGCGGAACTAAGAAAAGGCAACGGATGATAGCAGTAGGTGACTCTGTTCTGAGGGGTACGGAGGCACCCATTTGCTGACCTGACCCACTCTAGAGAGGTGTGCTGTTCACTGAGGGCTAGTATCAGGGATGTCACAGAGAGACTACCAAGCCTCATACGATCCACTGACTATTATCTGCTGCTGTTGTTTCACAAGGGCATCAGTGACACAGCTGGAAGCAGTCTGAGGAGTATCAAGAAGGATCACAGAGCCCCAGGAGAGGCAGTAAGGTAGTTTTCTCATCAGTCCTCCCAGTCAAAGGGAAAGGGTTCAAAAGGGCTAAATCTGGCGAGTCAACAAATGGTTAGAGGAGTGGTGCCTGAGCCAGGGGTTTGACTACTTAGAGTACGGGACTTCCTTTGAGAAACCTGCTCTACTGGGAGCTGATGGGGTCCATCTGTCAGAGAAGGGCATAGTTTCTCTCCTCCTTAATTGGAAGTTTATATACTAAAGCTGTCGGGGGAGGGGAACTTCAATCCATCCCACTCCTACCAGTCTGATGCCAGTGCCAGAAAAAGATGCTAGAGCCCGGAGAAGGGCAACAGGTCAGCAAGAGAGCACCTGAAGAGCAGCAGAAAGGGATTCCAACAAGTAAGTCAGCCTCATCAGGGGCCCAGCCTCAGTGCCTCTATGTAAATGCACATGGCATGGGGAATAAACATGAGGAGTTAGAGATGTGCCCACACCTGCAGGGCTGTGATCTCATTGGCATCACAGAAATGTGTCTGGAATGGAAGGATACAAGCTCTTTAGGAAGGAGAGGCGTCACACTCTATGTCAGTGACCAGCTGGAGTGCATGGAGCTCCACCTGGGGATGGGTGAGGAGCTGACTGAGAGCTTGTGGGTCAGGATTAGAGGGAGGACAGGGACAGGTGACATTGTAGTGGGAGCCTCCTACAGGCCTCCTGACCAGGAAGATCGAGCGGATGAGGCTCTCTACAGACAGATAGGACCAGCTTCACGCTCACAAGCCCTGATCCTCAGAGGGGACTTCAACCACCCTGATATCTGTCGGAGGGACAAAACAGCACAGCACAAGCAAGCCAGGAGGTTCCTTGGATGTGTTGATGGTAACTTCCTTCACCAAGTGATAGAGGAGACAAAGAACTCCTTCACCTTTACAAAATCTCATTAACATGAAATAATATGAGATATGCATATCACAGACTGTTGGGAATAGGCAATTTTTTTTTTCCTTCTTCCTGTTATTAGAAAATAATTTGATGCTTAGAGCACTAATGTGTGGGAAATACAGTTTGGTTTTCTCCTCTGACTGTAAACGTTCAAATAATAAGGTCACATTACCCAAAACAGTGACCTGGCTGTTTAGTAGTAGGAAAAGAAATAAGCTCTCCTGTTCTGAAGCAGTTGCTGCAAACTAATTGAGTTCTTGCTGAGCCAGAGAAGGAGCACCATTCTCTCACTGGCGATTACAGCCCTTGTCTAAATTTTGGGCCCTGTCCTAAAGTACACTGGGCTTTTGATCTACTGTTTTGTTGGGTTTTTTTTAATATTGTTTGTGGAAAGGGCTGCAAGACAGAATCCTGTTAAGCTGTCTGACCGTTAAGATCTTCCTCGGTGTTACGAATCTCTGAGGCTGTTGTCAGCCTTGCCTTTTGTGCCATGGGCTGAAAATTTAAGTGCTCTGCTTATTGTCACAGAAAACTGTTATCCCTCTGTGGGCTAAGCCCTGATGGTAAAAAAACACTCAAGAAATCATTCAATACTGTGAGTTGAACCTGGGTTTTATAACAACCAGGTGGAACACCTAGAAATACAGCCCAGTTTTTCATTACGTGGGTTTCAGATAGTGTGGGAGGGAATAAGCCAACATTGTGTATACTTATTATAGCAGAATTGGTGGTTTCAGCAGGGGTGCATAATTTTTGAGGAAACTTGTTAATTAACAGCTGTTGACAGCAGGAAGAGAGCTCAAACATTGGTGCTATTCTGATAGAGTGGATCAAAAAGTGAAGGTTAGAGGTTTAGTGTCTCAGGTTTGACTTTTATTTTTCTTCTGTTTTTAGTGTAAAAAGCTTATGGAGCCTTGTTAAAAGCCTTGACGTTCCATAATA